TGTAGGGACGGCACATGATGATATGCTTTCTCGAAGCAATCCCTTTTTAAGCAATGCTACAACTTGTCTGTGCAAGTCCTCATGTTCCATGGGGCTCACTCGATAATGGGCCAAATTTGGTAGGCTAGATCCGGGCACCAAGTCAATGTGATGCTGAATATTTCTTATTGGAGGAAGATCATCAGGTACTTTTTAAGTATCACATCTTTATACTTATCAAGTAGAGGTTAAAAAAACCTAAGAATTGCAGTCGGTGCAAAATTTTCTTTTGCAACCAATACATAAATCAACTTTGAACCCTCATCTTTAGTGGATTTGGGTGTAGGAAGTTGCTTCATAGGGTGGAGTATTCTAGTAATACCATCCTTAACAAAATAATAAGCGCTTGGCCTAGTTTTATGCACCATCTTATGATCATAAAGCCATAGTCTACCAAGTAATATGTGGCATGCATCTATAGGTGTTACATCACACCACACTTTATCTTTGTAATTAACACCAAAAGAAAAAGAGATTAAACAACGAGTAAGAACATGTACCTCACCTCCTTTCTTGAACCACTGGATGTGGTATAGGCGTGGGTGCTTATATTCCTTCAATTAAAGTTTAGCCACCATCTCTTTAGACACAATATTTTCACTGCTCCCACCATCAATTAGTACTGTGCATGACTTACCTCCTGATGTGTAAATTGTTCAAAAAATATTATGTCGCAGCCACTTCTCATCCTTGTTAGGTATTAGGGTTGATAACATAGTTCGCTGGACAACTAAGACTTCACCCTTTTCATCTCCATACAAATCCTCAACTTCACCTTTCAAGGGCCCAATCCTTTCATAAGACTGGCTCGTCCTGATATCACATTGACCTTCATAGGTGTATCCTTCATCAACTTCTTCTTTATAATTTTCTTCAGCCAAATTAACTTTGACAAGGGGTTGATGTGAGGGGCAATTGAATGCCATATGTCCAGGCTGGTGACACTTGAAACCCACTATTTGTGTATTATCACAAAGTGTTTTAGGTGCTCCCAACCCTCTACTAACACCACCTCGCCCCATAATAGGGTTTGGCCTAGTTGAGAAATTATGAGAAGTTTGGTTTCCACGCTACCCATGTATTGAAGTAAAGTCTCTTGTTACTGAGCTATTTCTCCCAATTTTCTCTACTTTGAGGGCCAAAGTATAGGCATCAAACATCTTATAGACATCTGTGAAGGTCAATTCATTTTGAATACCTTGATTTAGCCTATACAAGTAACGACTTATTTTTTGATCTTCATACTCTTGTAAAGTTACCCTAGAAGACAAAATATATAACTCTTCAGTATAGTCACTTACCGACTTTTCACCTTGCTTGAGGTTTTGACACCTTTGGTATAAAGTTCGGGCATAATTTACTGGTTAAAGTTTTCGACGCATCTTCATCTTCATTTTTTCCCACGAATTAATCTTTTCCTTGCCTTGTCGAAAACGATTCTGTTGCAAATCATCCCACCAAACCAATGCATGGCCAGAAAATTTTGTGGCTACTAATTTTACTTTTATGTGATTTGCAATATCTTTGTAATCAAACACTTTATCTTATTTAGCCAATCAAGAAAATCATCTGCATGCAATCGACTATGGAGCTCTGGAATATCAATTTTTATTTTAGGTTCTCTTTCTCTTTCCAACAATCGAAGAATTCGTTCATTGAATTCATTATTAGCCGGGGCTACCCGAGGTTGGTTAGGAACAAGAGTTGCCTTGAGTTCCAACGTCGGTCTCCGGAGACCTTCCATCCTGAAGCTGAGCGAACCTTTACGCAAGCTCATCGACTTTCGCAGCTATAGACATGAATTGGTCTACTCTCTCTGCTAGGGCTTGAATTAATCCAGTCAATTCCTTTAATCCATCGATGTATGTCTCTTGTGAAGCCATCGGAACCTGGCTTTGATACCAATTGATGCAGGGAGTGTATAAAACCATAAAATTGACAATAAAAGAAGAAATGTTAAGAGAAAAATACCATCTCTCAAAGGTCTGCAAGGAATCTACCCCAAAACAATTTTTTTCAAGAGATCAATTTTTATTCAATTCAAAGACTAATCTACAATGAAAAGAAATGTCCCTTTAAATAGACTAAAATAAGATAACTAATAAAAAGCTTCTCTCTACACCTATCCTTATTTTCTCTCTCTCATATCCACGTGCTTTTAGATAGCCATATTTTCTCTCTCATGTTTTACCCAAAAAAACATCCCAAGTTATTGTTGATAAAGATAATCTCTCTTCTAAATTTACCCTTATCCTAATTATATATCTCAAACTAACCCAATCGATACAAGATAAACACAATATAAATCGCCCTACTAATTATCCATGTGCACTCCCTAAACGAAAAATAATTAAAATAATTCTAATAAATAACCCTAAGAATTTTTCCTTATTACGTCATTGTCCTTTCTTTCCCTCTTAGGTTCTACGACCCTTCTTTGGCCGAGTCATGAAGGGGAATGGCCGCATAAATATTTGGGCATCAAAACAACCTCTTCTAGTGAAATTTTTGAGGTGAGCTCTAATTTGATAGTTTAGAGCCTTCGCTCTATATAAACTTTCCCCTTATAAAATTTTAGACTCTAAAAATGGTTCAAATCAACTAGATGAAACTAGATGGTCGAGATAATGTGTTGCAAGATATATTATTTCACGGACTCAAAATCGTTTTTCTCTTTTCGTATTCATACATATCGATTAGAGGGTTTTCCAATATCCAAACAACTTTTTATGATGGATTTTTGAGGTGCGCCTTTAATTATACATTTTAAGATTGTAACCTTATATAAACTTATTCTAAAAGAAAAAGACACATAGTTCACATATAGCATGCACATGTTAAGACTTTTATTGGCGTTTTAAGTTGTGAAAATTGATAAGGTTATGGCCACATTCACTATTTAAGAGCATTTTGTCATTCTTTGAATATGCAAAAGCGTTTCATTTACAACTACCAGCTCAAAGCACAAATATAGCGACATTGATAATTATGGTTTACTTTTTTTGCTTGGATTAATCTAGAAAAAAAAGTTGATATGTACACTCCTTTAAAAATATGTCATAATGTTCCTTAAATTTGAGCAGGGTAAAATTTATGGATATATATTTTGCAAGTCAATGAAATTAGAGAAGAGTTTAGTTACTCATTGTTTAAAGGCATTTTGGCATTTATTCGACTAATGAGGTCAGGCTGCCAAGGGGCCTCCGCCCTGAGCCGAGCTTCAGGCCATACTTTATACTCTGATATATATATATATATAATGGATCCTGTTAGCTCACGAGCTAATAGCTATCAATGATTTAAATTGAACTTGGGCTCAATTCAATAGGTTACGATTTCATTTCGTATTTGAATTTTTCATTTTTTTTTTCTACAAATCAATCTAAATCACTTTAAAATTTGAACGTCAATTTTTTAAAAATTGGAGAAAAAAATTCTCCATATATTTTTTAACTACTTCCAACCGGTTCAAATTTTTTAAAAATTGGAGAAAAAAATTCTCCATATATATGTTAACTACTTCCAATCATATCTTTTTAGACCTACCATTTGTTTTTTTTAAACAATCCATTTGAACTAACTCATACGTCTTAACAGTTATTGCATTAGACATGACCAACTCGTCTAAATCTACTTTATCTCATTTTGTTACGGGCTAGTCAAGATATCAAAGTTATAATTCTGACTTTAAGAATACATAAAGGGCCAGCCCAAGAGTGAGCATGAAAGGGCCAGGTCGTGTGCGGCCCAGTCCATTGACCGCCCTAAATCGAAAAGAATGCAGAGAACAAACAAGTGATCAAGATTTTTCAGAGAAAGTGGGAAAATATAAAAATTATGGGAAAGGAGGAAAAAAATTGTGAAGATAATTTTGCTTTAGCCCTCATGAATAATCCTAAAGATGCCAAACAGGGCCAATCAAAAGGCTCCTCGCTTTCCACTTCATCATCCAACCTCATCCCCTCACGAAACGTGGAAGTCCGTTATTGGATAGCCAGATAGCCCTTTTAGTGAGCCATTCTCAAGCATTCTCCTTTAAATCACAACCGTCCATTGCAGGTCCCCGGAATTTGATTGGTATAAGATGGAATTGACCCTGTGGGTCCAATTTTTGACACTGTTTGAAGAGGGGCATTTTAGGTAACCTGATGAGGCATTTTTGATATTTCACTTAATTAGCAGGGTTAGTTTTGGGGTTTAAGGAAATTTTCGCGAGTTAAATTTCGGCGCGAAGTCCGAAATACCGGATAACGGCCCCCCAGTAACAGCCGAAACTTTCAACTTTTCGTAGAGATAACGGAAGTTGTAGATGGCAACTCAAGGATCCTTTCCGTTATGTAACGCTCTACGAGAAAATCGTGGAAAGCAAAATGAGAAAAATGAAAAACACGAAATAATGGAGAATTTTAGGAATATGATTTCTTTCAAAAAATTATTTTTGGAGTTCTTCCCTCGATCAGAAGACTTAGGGTTGGCAATGGGCTAGATGGCCCAATCCGATCGGCCCGACCCTAAAAAACTAGGGTCCCAACCACAACACAAAATGTGGCACTTATGTTTATTTTTCTTCTTAAGGTCTATAAGCCCCAGCCCAGCCGGTCTCGGGACGGCGCTAAAGAGACTAGCCCTCCTAGGCTTGACTCAAAATTCAACATTTTCCTCATTTTATCGATTTGATTTGAAAAGCCCCATCAAAATATACATGATCATAATTTAGAGAAGCTATAAATGTATACAATATTAAACAATCAATAAATTAAATTTATTTTGAATAAACTTCCTCATAATCATTCTCCAACGTTCTATCCCAATTACCACGACATCAAATATCAGACCGAGTATGTCTCCATGACAACGGCCGTTATTCCACAAACGTTACGTTCTTTACTCTCCACAGATATATATAAAAACCATGGAGCACCCAGAGAGAGCGGTGGTCCCTCTCTTGTCGTTGACAATTTGATAAGGGTATTTTCAGTAATTTGTATTTTCTCTTTCGTTTAGAATCCGCAAAAAAATTGAATGAATATTCTCAGTTGCTCTGAAAATTTGAAACCAGAGAGAGAGAAATGGTGTCAGAGATGTCAAGATTTGTACGGACATGAAAAACTCTAATGGGGCCCGTGCTAATTCGCTCTCCAAACCCTAATTTTTCACTGATCCCTAGATTCAGGGCATTTGAATCCGCCATTAAAGGACCTCTGACGAGGCCTGGCTCGTGTCCTTGCTATGGCTCTCAGTCGAGGGTCTTTGATTGCAGGAAGAGGAGGGAGAGACGGTTGCTTAGTGGGGGAATTAGAGCTTTTTCGGAGAGGAGTGGCGAGGAGATTGGCGGAGTGGGGAGCGAGGAGAGGCCTGGGTTCTCTGGGCCGGCCATGGAGGTCTCGACCTCTGTTCATGGATATGGAGAGGCAGAGTTTCCGCTCTGGGACAAGTTAGGAGCCATTGTGAGGCTTAGCTATGGAATTGGTACTGATTTCTCATTAAAATTCTCTCTTTTTTTGTTCTTGGTTTTCATTTGAGTAGTGTATTGATTGCTGAAGTTGGACATTTTGATTTATTTTGGCCCTTTGGTCTTTGAATTGTTAGGTTGCAGAGAATAGGGGGTTCATTATTTTTTCACTCTTAGGGAGGGTTTTTTTTATGTTGTATTGATTTTGCATTGAACGAGTCATTAGATTTATTATCAAATTCTTCACTTAGTAGTAGCATTTTAAGTTCCTGAATAATTCAAATTACTAGAGTTTTTCTTTGATCTCAGGAGCAGCAGAATATTATCTTATTTACTTTTTTGGAAACTTCAAGGGATTTGATTGGTTTAGTATTTTTACGGGATAATAATATTTATTTGATATGCTTTTGACTTTGAGAAATTGGGTGACTCGTACTTCCAAGTCTTCTATTTACCAATTTTGAAGTAATTGAAATATTTATCCGATTTATTTGTTGTGCACAGTCATTTAGTTTTCATTGCTCACGATAGGACTCAATTGATTGCTAAAGAAACATGCAAACTTTTCTCATTGTAATAGGATTTATTTTGTATTTACTGTAAAAAATCTGTTCCATTTTGTTTGTGTCTTTTCTCATATTTATAAAATTCTTTGTTGGGTTTTAATTTGATTTACAGTTTGCATTTTGTTTAATTGATATTTGGTTTCAAGTCTTGGAATATTCATATGCAGATAGATTTCTCAAAATGGTTTATGTTGCCCCCTTTAAATTTTGCTTTTCGGAGCACCTAATAAGCTTTTTCAATGACTGAAAGCCTTCTTTATATTTTATCTGTCCAATTTAGGAAAGCAAGAGGACCTTCCATGTATTGGCTTCTTTACTTTTGGGAAAATTTATTAAATCACACCTGAGAGATCAACTATTTAACATTTCACCCATACCATAATTTGCAACGATTTATGACTCATAATGATGTATTCTTTGATGGGCTATTTGAAATTAGATTAAAAGATATGAGTCAGATGTTAAATAGATTGAATCTTAGTTGTGATATGATGAATCTCTCTTATTTTGATCAGAACTCGGTTTTCAATTTGCTTTTTTTGGTGCCTCTGAATTTCAGGCATATATGGCACCATGGCTCTTGTTGGTAATTTCATATGCTCCGTTGTTGGAATCGATCACATGGGAGGTTTCCATCCATCTTTGGAGGCTCTTTTGGATGGACTTGGATATGCTGCTCCCCCAATAATGGCTCTCCTCTTCATATTAGATGTATGTGTGCCTCTTTTCTTCATTTTTTTTAGTGACTTTAATTTGCAGAGCTCTATATCTAGTCTCATGGTCGATTCGTTTTCCTAATGCTTCCTGTAATTGATTGCCATACCTACTATTGGTTGGTTGATTTTGGATTTTCCGCATCAGTTTCTTATTTTAGATAGAGTTTAAATGTAAAAATCCTTGCCACTTAAAAGAGGATGACGGAAACCGATTTTCCATCTTGCTTACTGGAGAGGCCTTGCTTTCTTGGAAGAGGCAAGAAGGCCACTTAATTTTGAGTCATAACGAGACCTTCATGTGTTTCTAATCCTCTTGAAACCCATAGTTCAAGATGTGGGCATGTGAAAATCCACTTCCATTAATCAAGGGAAATTATTTATGTTGAAAAAACTTATGGTATTTACTCTTCAAAAAAAACAAAAAAAAATTATGATAGTCTCCATAGAATGAAAAGTTTTAGAGCTGGAGGCTAACACAAACTTCAGGTCTCCTGTCTAAATTAGGAAGTCTGAAAAGAATGATCTGGAAATCTTAGTTGGGTCAGATCCTTTGTTTTTTTTTCCGTGATAATTTGACCTTATGTTACCCAACCAAAAAAGAAAAATAAATTGAAATAACATGAAAGAAATGGGTGTGTATCAGATTTTGCAGTTCATTCTTCTACTTTTTACATTCATTTGATAATTGGTCTCATTTTCTTTGCTGATTCTTTTCACAGAAGACAAAATACGTTATTTGTCTTTATGTTGTTCTAATTTAATTGCTTGGAAATGTATTATATCAGAAAAGTATTGAAATGTTACAGGATGAAGTTGTAAAGTTGTCGCCTCATGCTCGAGCTATTAGAGATGTGGAAGATGAAGAGCTTAGGAGCTTCTTTTATGGAATGTCACCATGGCAGGTAATTCTTCGAGTCATGCAAATGTCTTGAAATTTTTGGTTTTTACTTCATTTTTCATTCTGAAAGAAAGAAAAGGAAAATAGAGAACCTTTTTTTCCCTGGAAATTTAACAGCCACGTGGCAAGTTACTTGTTGTGTGACTAATATTCTAATTTTTGGATGCTTTTTTTGCAGTTTATATTGATTGTGACTGCGAGTTCAGTTGGGGAGGAGCTGTTTTATCGTGTTGCTGTTCAGGTGAGAGTTGTGAGACATGTTGGCTCCGATCATTTATTCTGAGACTGTCTTTCTTAAGGGATGGGTTTTAATTTGTATTTGTCCTTTCTCTTTCTATGTTATTTTGTTAGTCAGTACGTGGTTATAAATGTCAATTTTTTTGGAAATCTTATGAAATAAAATGAAGTGTTTTTTCCATGATTTCTCATGGTTTTATCCCTTCCTCATTGTTCTCTGCATTTTTTGGGAAAAATACAATTTACATCTCTGTTAAGGTTTTAGGACATAAGCTGAAGTTTTATGATCATGCAGGGGGGACTGGCCCACATGTTTTTGCAAGGAACCGAACTTGTGAAGGACACTCAAGGAATCGCATCTCTTGTACGGACTCTAGTGCAACATTGCCATCTTATATTTGTTCCATATAGTTTCCCTACATTTTTTCCTTTTTTTCTGAGTATTTACTTTCTTAATATTAGTTATTTAAAGCTAAGTAACTCTTTCATGAGAAAAATATTGCCTGAGTATTTTGTCTGAACAGACTGGAATGCTGCCATTGTTTGTCCCATTTGCACAAGCATTTGCGGCTGTCCTCACTGCAGCTCTTACAGGTTCTCTCTATTATATGGCAGCCTCCCCAAAAGGTAATGTCTGTCTACCGTTAAAGCCATCAAATACATGTAATGTTGTTCGAAAAATCGAACCGAAACCAGCCAAGGGCTTGTTCAGAGTAGCTGGTATACTAGCCGGTTAGACCGGCCTAACCGGGCAAGCCCCAACTGGTCAAAAAAGTGTTAAAAATAAAAAGATTATAAAAAATCTAGAATAATATGAAAATTATATTTAAAACATGATTAAATAAAACACATCCAAATGTATATTAACTTTTTTGTAATTTCTCACAGACCCAACATATGTGGTTGCGCCGGTCTTGCGTTCTCGTCCTGGCCGGGAAGATCTCAAGAAACTATTTGCAGGTTTGTGAGCCTACCAGGGCCTCTTGTTCTAGTTAGAGAAATCATGATCAAAACTTGCGTGATTAAAATATAACTTTCTGATAATTGCTATATTATTCGATAGTTGATAGGAAGTCCTCTCTCTCTCTCTTCGGGGTAGTCATGATCAGCTCTCTCTCTCTTCGGGTACTCATGGTCTTCTCTCTCTCTCTCTGCCTCCTTTGGACAGTCGTGATCATACCCTTTTATGTTAGCAGTGATATGAACATGCATAAATATGTTTACTATTTTATTGTAAAAAAAAAAAAATTGAAATTTGAGAACTTGTAATCAATCCTGTTGATATTGATTTTCTTATGTCCCATGGCGCAGCTTGGTATGAGAGGAGGCAGCTGAAGAAGATCTATTCACCCCTTTTGGAGGGAATGCTGGCCCTCTACCTAGGCTTTGAATGGATCCAGGTATCCTTTTCAACAGCCCTTTACTTGTTTTTGGTACTCCCTAGATCTGTTGGAAATGTTTGAAACACACACACACACTCTCTCATATCCTTTGTTGTTGAATGGGTGCACAGACGGATAACATACTTGCTCCCATGATCACACATGGCATCTATTCTACCGTGATACTGGGGCACGGACTATGGAAGATCCACGATCACAAGCGTAGGCTACGCCAGAGAATTCAACAGGTCCGGGAAGAGAGCAAACTCAATATGTAACAATAGCAACAAAAAAAGAGGATAAAAGCGAGAAAAATGAAGAACAACATGACAAAAAAAAAGAAGTTAAAGGCATTTAATAGTTGAGGTAGTTATGATCCTGAGATGGAAATGTACATAGCTCCTTATGGAGCAGGAGAAGTCCTACTAGGCCAGAGTCAGTTAGTGATTTTATGAATCATTATTACTTAGTTGAGAATAATAAGAATGAACGTGTAATATATACATATGTAGTCTTAGTTTTTTATGATCACTTACCAGTAAAATATACAATTGACTTGATGCCCTGTGAAATCACCTTACAATTCCTTTTGCATATGCATGATTCATTAAGACTGATTGATTGATTACAGTTCTACAACCACAACTGGGAACCAGAGAGAGAGAGGGAGGCTTATCAAGCAAAAATAAACAAGGGGTATTATTTCAAAGTTCATTTACAATCTTGACTGCAAAGGGAAAATAGCAGTCACGCGTGTATAATTTATTCAAGAGTCCTGATTAGTAGAAGTCATGGTGACTAATTGTCATCTTCCAGTTGGGTTATGATATTTGTAAAAACTTGGAAACCTTGGCACATATCTGAGAGCAAGCAGTACTCATTCTTTGCATGGTATGTGGCCATCAACCCTAAAACAAGAAACGAAAACAAGAGAGTCCCAGTCATAACTACTCAGCCAGCAAGTGAATGAATGCATACATAGGAGAGAGAGAGAGAGAGAGAGAGAGAGAGAGAGACCATAAATTCAAGATCATATGAAAATATTTGTGACTATCTTAAGTATCTAAGAAAAGAAAACAAGTGAAATTTAAATGGTACTGGGAGAATCTCCATCGGATCCAAAAAATACAAGTCACTTAAATCAGTTGAAAATCAAACACCATACACAATTCCATAAGAGGATGCCTCAAATTTATGAGAGCTGAAAACTCTTAATCTTCAAAACCAATGTGGCTAAAAACTCAAAAAAAGATATATTTTTGGTACTCCAAAATCAATAATTACAAACGAAATGTTTAGGAAACGTACCATATCCTGCAGTTTGGACATCAAATCCTTCATCCTAGTTAAAAATCAGAACTACCACAGTTAAAAGCATGTCTTTATATTTATACATGAATGAAAAAGATATATAAACCAACGGATTTGTGCCATAGCCTAGCCACTTTGAAAGGCAAGGTTCCATTGAACCCCAAATTATGCACACATATCTTATCTAGGTGATAAAAAAAACAGAAAAAGATCAATTTGCACAAGAAAATAAAGGGAAATGCAAGCTGCCCTTGTGGTAGACGGTGCATCTAGGTCTTCATGAATTGAAAACTGAATTTTTTAAATTAGTTAGTTTTGAAATAAAAAATGTTGTCCAAAATTTTAGCCCAAACAAAATCCCCTTAGTTATGTAATTTTAGAGCTTGGCTTATACTGTAACTATAACCCCACTGGCTATTAAAAGCTTTTCCCTAAAAGAATATATGCATCCACACATATGCATGTGTAACAACAAGAAAAAATGGTAGAATCTGTAGCATATGTACAAAAACACACATGCACGTTCACAACCACAAGTATGTGGGAAAAAATACTACACTCTGATGTCTATAGAAAAATATAACCTTATTGGCACTATCACCATTTGAAGAAGGGGAAACCTTTCTATGTGTCTCCAACCACAGAGTTTATACGTGTCTAGAGGTTTACTATTGTTAGAAAGTGAACCAACAACAATGTCATAAACTAACGCTAGCTATTCTCTCGTCACAATTTAACGCCTGCTCTTTTCCAACCATTTGATCAAATATCAAGTAGCTGTGGTGTCTCCAGACCATAAATTATGTGTATGGAGAAACACATAAAGCTCACCCCTAAAAGAATGGAAGAGTTGAGCCCGCCAGCACAGGACATAACACTAATTCTCTCTCTCTCTCTCTCTTCAGCACCAGCCATCATTATGTTAGAGACCCTGATTACAGGTTTTCTCATAATCCATTGGCCTGTAAAATTCATCATTGTGCATCACAAAGGAGGAACAAGAATCGGACCTGTAATTCTCGAATCAATGGAAGACTCCCTGTAATTGAGTAGGGCTTTACATGGCCTACAACTTCTTCAGTTGCTTTGCATAATACGTGAAAGCCACGAGAATTCAGATCACAAGCAACCCCAGACATTATTGCCTCATCGAAAGTCATTGTAAGCCTGGCAATGCATGGTATCTATCCTCAATCAATTCTCAGTTTATAACATATTTAAATAAGAAAAGTTATTATATAGACAAAAAAGGCAAATAAATCAAGGGAAATTTAATAACCATAAAATAACACATGGTCATGGAATAGTTCCAAACAAGGGCTTTTTGATATATTTCCCATAAATCAAAGGTAAAATTTTTAAAATACTAACACCAAAACACGGGGTAAGACAAGAAAAGTAATTGGAGAAATGATGGTATTGCACCCTAGAGAGTGTGTGCGTGCCTGTGACTGAGAGAGGGAGAAAGAGAGAGAGAGGCCCAACCTTCCTCTCAGATTTTCGTCAGGCAGGACGTATTTTGACACCGGCCCACGTGTGTCCAGCTTCTCTATGTTCTTATTAATGTCATCAACATATTCCTGTAATCTTTTCACCACATCTGTGGTGCTGGGCGATATTTAAAGGGGGGAGAAGAGTTAAAAAAGGAAATGCAGCTAATTTTATGAATCAAAAGTTGGTAAAGTTCCAAATATGAGTGAACTAAACCAAAGAAACCCAAGGAAATTTCTCTGTAAAATTATGTACTTACTCGTAAAATGGAGTCAGCCTGCATCACAAGAAAAGACGGGGTGAGAATCAAGAATCAATGAGTAAGTTAAAATCGAAGCATAATGCAAGTACATGTATACGATAAACCTTTCCAAAGAATATTTATTGCCAATCAAAAAACATAGCTCTCAAATTTGCACTATTCACAGCAAGAAACTTTGAGGTCATTCATGAAGTAGATTAGATCACTCCTTTTTTTCTTTTTTTTTAATATAATCTTTTTGGTTTTCATAGATCATTATTTCCAACAAAAAAATATATATATTTTTTCTCTTGACAATAATCTCTAATGAACATGGGTCACATCTGAACAGACTAAACAAACCTGACATCCCCTGAAATTGTACACTCAGCTGGAATCTGATTAATGCCACCTCCAGGGTCTGCAATATCCAATTAAATCAGTTTCTATGCAATGCACAATGCAAACAAACCTTCTGTAAGATTTACTTGTAAAACCTTCACGTATCTCAAACCAGTTGTCAAAGATAGTGTATAACTTCTTATGACTTGGAGAGACGTGATTACATTCATTTCTCTTTATAAAGATAAACTATTGGGTTTTAAAGTTCAACACCATGAATCCAATATATTTCTTTTCTATAAAAAATGTACTTTTTGCTAATGAGGTCATGAATTAGATATATTGATGCATTAAAATGCATCAATATATTTAATTGCATTGCAATATCACAGGGTCTAAGAAAATATATATTTAATTCATGAATGAAATATCTTTCCGCAACTGCATCAAATACAGATCGGTCAAATTTATAATAAATGAATACCCCAAGTTTCAATAAAAGGCTCCCAAAAGTTCATTTCAAAAATAGAAAAATATTTTGAAAAGCAGTGGCTTCATACAGCTGCACCTCAAATCCTGTGAGAAAACGCAATTCTGATGCTGAAGAACCTGCAAATCGATCATCAACACCTGGATGGTCATCGATATGAGGGGAAAAAAGGTGGAATTGAAGCACTACAACTGGTTCATCTTGCAACAAATTTTTTGGACTGTCCATTTCAATGCTTCACAAATCTGCCAGATTTGCACCAGTTTTGGAGCTTCAAATTCCACAGCCAAAGGCTAAAATAAATTTATAGGCCAAAACAGGGTTTCCAGAACAGTATCTTGTCTTTCAGGCAGGGTTTTGAGGCCTTGCCAAATATCATAAAGCCATAGTCTTATCAAAACCTCATAATTTATAATTTAATTGATTACAGTATAACACACTATGTGGCTCATTCAAATGAAACATGCAGATAGAGTTCGCATTGATCACATCTGAATTGTAGTTAATTCTATTTTCACATACAATACCAATGCTTAAAAGTCAAAACTATGAATTTTAGACCAAACCAAAATTTGCTCTTTTAGGTATGGTACTTACATGTGATGGGCCAAAAAAGGACAAAGCCATTTTTACCATGCCGATATTATGCAGACTAATTCAGCAATTTTTCAACTAATGATTATTCAAAAATTTGGGTTCATTGAGATAAATTAATTTTCCAGGTTGCTACCAGAAATTTCATATGCATTTGCAATGCCAAGAGAAAATGTGTTAATGGATTTTTCCGGCAAGTCACCTAAATGTAAAAGCCTATCATTTTAATCACATAGCTAATCAAAGATTTCCTATGCATTTGAATTGCCAAGAGCAAATGAGTCATTAACTGGAAAATGTTTTCTAGCCATTGAAAGCTTAGAGTAACATTGCGCTAGGAAGAACTATTTTACATGAGAAGGAATAAGAAACTCACAACTCCATTGTGTTGGCTTCATGGTTGATGGAGTGGCAAACCCATAAACCTTTTCTTGAGGATGTGGAGGGAAGTCTCTATAAAATCTTAATTGGATCTCCTTGAATGCTTCCATAGCTAATTCCAGAGGATTCACAGCCTGAAGACAGAGCATGCACTATGTAAACTCCCGATCTGAAACGAAGAACTAATTTCCTCTCTTCCAACTAAAATTTAAAAAATGGAATAACATAAAATATACAATGGAAATGGAGCTTACACAGACCTGCAAGGAAATTCATTGAGTGGCAAAAACAGGGCCTCCAGAAACAAAGTTGTAATGCATTTGTTTTTGATGAATAAAGTTTTCTATTCATCTATAATATGAATGCATTGGTTTCCGAAATTATTCTATAGAATCACATTACCCATGCATTATCCCACTGCTTTCTTGTTCCACTTCTTCCATGCATTTTTCCAAAGCATTCACCAAACTTCTCCCAAAATTTTCTTGTTTCTAGAAGCATGCATTTATACTCCTATTCTCCAATCATTTCCCCAAAATTCTTTATTTTCTATTAACGAGGAGTTCAATTAAGGTTCAAAACTGAGACTCAGCAAACAAAATGAAAAAGGAAATAAAACAAAAAAATGAAAAAGAAAAAGAAAATGAAAAAGAAAAAGAAATAGAAAAAGAAAAAGAAAAAGAAAAAACACTTTGCTACAAGGAAAAGCGTGTTCGGTACTAAATTAAACCTTGTGTGGGAGACCACTATGGAAAAGCTTCCCCGTTGATCGAAGTTTCCATGCAATCATTCCTCCAGTTCCAATGCAAGGTTGTTTATCAGCTGTATCTATCCAAAACCTAGAAGAATAGAACCATAACTGAATGAATTTAAAATAATGGCACATGAATATATTGGATTATACTCAATGTATCAATGTTTCAGTTTTGCTTGAAATAGTTGATTTCTTTCAAAGATAATGTGATACCATAATTTGCCAGAAAAATCATGAGTTGTATCACCCATTGAACAATAATGGAAATTAAAGCAATTAATTGTAAAATACATATGCAACAGGAAATAATCCTCTCAAATTTAAGAGGCACTGTGAGAGATAATTGTCATTCCTTTTGAGACATTGGACAGAAGAATATGGAATTGGGAATAAAGAAGTTGTTTTTGATTGAAGTGTACTATTTTTTACAGCTAGACTGAAAGAGACGATAAATGATTGTCATTCCTTTTGAGAGATTGGACAGAAGAATATGGAATTGGGAATAAAGAAGTTTTTGATTGAGGTGTACTATGTTTTACAGCTAGACTGAAAGAGACATCTGAAAAAAGTCGTGAAGCAAATTCCCATGTAAAGAATCGTTAAGGACAAGAATCTTACTGATAATAATATACAAAATTTGGGAAACTTTCCCCACTTTTTGTTTTAAAAAAATGTATAATAGGATGAGAGAATATTGTCAAATGGAGATGGTTATCAGCAAGAATATTCTCCTTAATGAATAGCTACATCATAGTTGATTAGTGAAAACCTTGACCTTAATGAGATTCTCCCTGGTAGCCATCTATACAACATGAGAACCCTGTAAAAATACTCACTAGGAAGCCTAACTTCCTCTTGAAAATTTGCAGTGGATTGTGGAATGGGAGTCTTTAAAAATTATATGCTGGATCAGAAAGGAAAGTCCTATTCATTGAGACATCTCGAGGAAATCAGACACTTAAATGAACGTGATGGAGCATTTGTACTCCTTTCTTGTCCATCAATAAAATATACTTACAGAAGAAAAAATGTTTCGTATAAATAAAAGAAAGAATTGTCCAACATGGTTATGGTTTAGAGATTCAAACAATCACTATAAAGGTTAAGGTATTTCAATGTTTCTCTATTAGACTCAATTAGATCCACTTCAGTGTAGTAGAATATGTTTATTTGTGTTTAGGAAAGGGAGAGAAGCATGAATCACACATAGATTTCTACTCCAGGGGAAATAATGCGATTACTCATCACACAAACATGTGATCACAAAATACAAAAGAATAGCAAGAAAAAGATGAGGAATCATGGAGAGAGTATGGTCCTCCTTGAATTCTCAGTTGGGAACATGAGAACCATCCAGAAAGAAGCAAAGAACAGAAAAAGGAAAAAAACAAAAACTACCATACTGTTTTTGATAAATAAAACGAAAACTACCATATGAATTAAACTAATACATAATTAGGAAGCTTTTTAGTTGCAACTACTAAAGTCTGAAAAAAATGACTCCAAAACAGGATCACAAGTAGGAGAATCATGCCATAATCTATTGCTACTCAAAGTGACATGTTAATCTCCATTCTCCACGTTTCATACTTGTCTACTAAAGATTCCCTATAAAGGTGGTATGCATCTCTTTGTCCCTCAAAGTTTAATATCAAACACATTTCTCTTCTTTTATCGGTTTCAGTGAGACAATTAAATGCATACTCACAGTGGACCAGTTTTGAGCTTATCAAGTAGGCCATCTTTAACAAGCGCATCAACACCAACCCCCAACACTGAAGAATTCTCTTCATTAGCAATGAACACAGCAACAACAGTTGACTTCAGCTTAGGCTTTTCTTGCCCTAATCTCTGCATAAGGCTTGTCACAAGAGCTACATGCCCCAAACAATCAGTGGTTCCCCGACCACGTAATTTATCGCCATCGATGCTCAAAGAGAAAGGATCAAAGTCCTGCCCAACAAAATAATTTAAAAAAGAACGAAAAATTTATAGAAGAAATCGCAGAATTCTGGTTATAATGGTCATCTACTTTTAGTTTCATGAGAAAGAGTGAGAGAGGCTTTCATAAATTTCTTAAGAAAAGAGCAAAGAGTTTGCTGGTTATGATGATCAGTTAGTCTTAGTCTTAGTTTTTTGTGTGTGTAAGAGAGACCCAATCCTCAGGAGCGGAGAAAACATTCATATGGCACCCCACAAGAGAGAGAAATCAATTCCTTAGGAGACGACATCACGAGAGAGAGAGAGAGAGAGAGAGAGAGAGAGAGAGAGAGAGAGAGAGAGAGAGAGACGACGACGACGACGTACGACGTACGTACGTACGTACGTACGACGTACGACTACGTACGTACGTACGACCGACCGTAACCGAACCGTAACGAACGTAAAC